TGGTTGGTTGGTTATGTTTTTTTTGTTTTGTTTTTTGTTTGTTTGTTTTTTCTGAGACAGAGTCTTGCTCTGTCACCTAGGCTGGAGTGCAGTGGTGCAATCTCGGCTCACTGCAAGCTCCACCTCCCGGGTTCAAGCCATTCTGTCTCAGCCTCCCGAATAGCTGGGAGTACAGGCGTGCACCACCACGCCTGGCTAGTTTTTGTATTTTTAGTAGAGACGGGGTTTCACCATATTGGCCAGGCTGGCCTCAAACTCCTACCCTGGTGACCCGCCTGCCTCGGCCTCCCAAAGTGCTGGGATTATAGATGTGAGCCACCATGCCCGGCCAGAATAGTGTTTTAAGAGATCTGCTTGGGAGGTTTTTTTATTTTGTTTTGGACCTAGCACAGCCCCATGTACTACAGTTGTTGCTATAGGAAAAAAAAGGGAATTGACATGTGTTTTTTAGTAATGAAATTTTTTGCCGGCTATGGTGGCTCATGCCTGTAATCCCAGCACTTTGGGAGGCTGAGGCAGGCAGGTGGATCACCTGAGGTCAGCAGTTTGAGACCAGCCTGGCCAACCTGGTAAAACCGCATCTCTACTAAAAATTAACTGGTCAGAAGTTTGAGACCAGCCTGGCCAACATGGTGAAAACCTGTCTCTACTAAAAATACAATAAATTAGCTGGGCGTGGTCACTTGAACCCTGGAGGCAGAGGTTGCAGTGAGCTGAGATCACGCCGTTGCACTCTAGCCTGGGCGACAAGCAAAACTCCGTCCTCCCTGCCCCCCAAAAAATAATAATAATGAAATTTTTTATTTGTGAGAGTTAAAATAAATATGTGACTTGGATTCCTTTACAACATGGAAGTCAATGGACTCAATTGGAAATTAATTCTGAGCCTGCTTTGGGGGTTGTGGCATCTAGTGGGGTCTATGTGCTTGTATCCTCAGCATCCCCTGAAGTTGCCCTATAGGGACTACTGTTCAGCCAGCTGTTCTTCTGGAGTTATGAAGGACTGTTGCCTGCAGAGCCGAAGGAGTCATTAGGAGTCCTGGGAAAGACTTTTTCAGTTAATAGTGCCAATGAGAAGGTGGAGAAAACTCACATTTTTCCAAGAGCATGCTCTGTGCTGGACACTACTGAGTTTTTTTAATGTAATTTCTTGTTTAACCTTCATACTATGTGAGGTTAAATATTGTTATTCCCATTTTCAAGTGAAATAATGTTGCCTCAGAGAGGTTAATTAACTTTCACAAGGACACAGTTCAAGATAGGACCCCAGACTTAACATTGGAGCCCAAGTTCTCCCACTATTCTGATGTGCCTTCCTGAATTATGAGCACGGGAAAAAGTTACAGTGATAGTCCCAAAAGAAAATGATTCCAGATAGGTGATTAGAACAGCTTAATTGATTGATGTATTTATTTTTTGAGACACAGTTTTATTCTTGTTACCCAGGCTGGAGTGTAATGGTGCATTCTTGGCTCATAGCAACCTCTGCCTCCCAGATTCAAGTGATTCTTCTGCCTCAGCTGCTCGAGTAGCTGAGATTACAGGCACGCACCACCATGCCTGACTAATTTTTTGTATTTGTAGTAGAGAAGGGGTTTCACCATGTTGGCCAGGCTGGTCTCGAATTCCTGACCTCAGGTGATCCACTTGCCTTGGCCTCCGAAAGTGCTGGGATTACAGGTGTGAGCAACCATGCCTAGCCAGCTTAATTTATTTTTAAACTACTACAGATGACACCAACTTTGATTATTTCTCTATAGACCTGAACAAAGGATAACAAAATACCTTTCAAAAATGAAAAAAAAAAATTTTTTTGAGACGGAGTCTCACTCCATCGCTCAGGCTGGAGTGCAGTGGCTTGATCTTGGCTCCACCTCCCAGGATCAAGCAGTTCTGCCACAGCCTCCCGAGGAGCTAGGAGTACAGGCACA